TCCAAGGAATTTTGGAAGATCAGACACAGGGCCTCCACTATCTCATACGCTCCTCTTCTCAAACCCTGTGATGCAAACCATCCGGACCGGGGGATCCGTCACTGTTTAGTGCTCACAGTTTCCCGACACCAATTCTCTGCTGAATTTCCCTAAGTTGCTCCCTGTCCCTCACGTCCCCCCCCACCCCACACGCACCCACACGTACTGCCCACACGCACCCACACGTACTGCCCACACGCACCCTCACGTCCGCCCACACGCACCCTCACGTACTGCCCACACGCACCCTCACGTACTGCCCACACGCACCCTCACGTACTGCCCACACTCGCCCTCACGTACCACCCATACTCACACTCACCTCCCCCCCACAAACACCCTCACCTCCGCCCCACACACACCCTCACGACCCCCCACACACACCCTCACGACCCCCCACACACACCCTTACCTCCCCCCACACAACCTCACACCCCCGCACAAGCACCTGCACGTCCCCCCCCACACACCCTCACCTCTCCCCCACACGCACCATCATGAGCCCCCCAAATGCACCCTCACGTCCCCCCCACACGCACCGTCATTATGCCACCACACACACCCTCACGTCCCCAACACGCACCCTCACGACACCCCCCACATGCACACTGTCTTGACCCCCACACACCCGTACGTCCCCCCCACGCACACACTCACCTCCCACCACACGCACCCTCACGTTCCCCCCCCATACATACCCTCACGACACCCCCACATGCAGCCTCACTTACACCCGCACAGGTACCCTCCCATCAACCCCCACAAACACAGCCTCACGTCCCCCACAAACACAGCCTCACGTCCCCCCCTCACAAACCTCACGTGCCCCCCACAAGCAGCCGCACGTCCCTCCCACATGCACTCTCACCCACACAGGCACACTCACGAGCCTCACAAACGCACACTCACATTCCTCCACAACACCATCACGTCCCCAGCACACGCACCCTCACGTTCCTCCACATACACACCTGTTCATCACTCCCACACACACCCTCACGTCCCATACAAGCATCCTCCCGTCCCCCCCACATGCACCCTCACCTCCCCCCTCACACACAACCTCACGTCCCCCCACACGCACCCTCACGTCCCCCCCACACAGCCTCATGTCCCACCCACACACACCCTCACGTCCACCCGACACGCAGCCTCATGTCTCCCCCATAAGCACCCTCACGTCACGCCCAGACGCACCCTCGCGTCCCCCACACATGCACGCTCGCGCCCCCAACACACGCACCCTCACGTGCCCCCCACATGCACATTCGTGTCCCCCACACGCACCCTCACGCTCCGCACACACTAACCCTCACGTCCCCCACCCACACGTACACTCTCATGTCCCCCCCACACGAGCCCTCACATCCCCCACACGCACCCTCACGTTCCTCCACATGCACATTCACGTTCCCCCAAGCGCACCCTCATGTCCCCCCCATGAAGCATACTCACGTCCCTCACACACGCAGCCTCATGTCCCCCCCACACGCACACTCACGTCCCCTGCACACACACCCTCATGTCCCCTGCACACACACCCTCAGACAGCCTCATGTCAACTCCACACGCACCCTCACGTCAACCCCACACGCAGCATGTCTTGACTCTCACGCAGCCCCACGTCTCCCCCACATGCACCCTCATGTCCCCCGCACAAGCACCCTCACACGGCATCACGTTCACCCCAAACACACCCTCATGACCCCGCACACACACTCACGTCCCCCACACGCACCCTCACCTCCCCCCAACACCCACCCTCACGTCACCCCCACACGCATCCTCACGTCACCACCACACGCACCCTCATGTCACCCCCACACGCACCCTCACGTCACCCCCACACGCACCCTCACGTCCCCACCACACGCACATTTGTGTCCACCACACGCACCCTCACGTTCCTCCACACGAACCCTCATGTCTCCCGCACACACACCCTCACTCTACCCCCCACACATGCACCCTCATGCCTCCCCCACACTAACCCTCATCCCCCCACACCACACGCATGCTCACACACCCCCCACAGGCACCCTCACGTCCCCCCCACAAACACCCTCATGTCCACCACACGCACCCTCACGTCCCCCCCCCATCCGTACACTCTCACATTCCCCCAAATGCGGCTTCACATCCCACCCACACGCACCCTCACATCCCCCCCACACGCACCCTCACGTCCCCCCACACACACCCTCACATCCCCCACAGGAAACCTCACGTTCCTCCGCACGCACACTCACGTTCCCCCATACGTAGCCTCACGTCCCCCCCACACGCACCCTCATGTGCGCCGCACACGCACCCTCAAGCAGCAACAATTCACCCCACACGCGCCCTCATGTCACACGCACACTCACGTCCCCCCACACACGCACCCTCACGTCACGCCCAAACGCATCCTCACGTCCCCCCCACATGCACCCTCACCTTCCCCCCACACGCATCCTCATGTCACCTCTACACACACCATTTTGTCATCCCCACATGCACCCTCAAATCACCCGCACACTCTCTCTCATGTCCCCCGCACACGCACGCTAACGTCCACCCCACACACACCCTCACGGCACCCACCCCCCACACACGTACTCTCATCCCCCCGACCCGTACCCTCACGTCCCCCACACACGCACTCTCACACCCCCCCCACACGCACCGTCACATCAGCTCTGCACGCGCACCCTCACATCCCCACCACACGCACCCTAACGTTCCTCCACAACACCCTCACGTTCATCCACACGCACACTCATGTCCCACCACATGAACCCTCACGTCTTGACCCCCACACACCCGCACTTCCTCCTCACATGCACCCTCACGTTCCCCACTCACATGCACCATCATGAGCCCCCACACACACAACGTCACGTTGCCCCACATGCAGCTTTTCATCGACTCCACACAAACCCTCACATCCCCCGCACACGCACCCTCACTTCACTCCCACACGCACACTCACGTCCCCCCCACACGCACCCTCACCTCACCCCCACACCCCCACATGCGCCCTCACGTTCCCCGCACACTTACGTCTCCCACACACGAAGCCTCACTTCCCCCCACACGCACCCTCACGTCCCCTCCACTGACACCCTCACGTCCCCTCCACTGACACCCTCACGTGCCCTTACACGCATCCTCACGTGCCCCCACACGCACCACCCTCACGTTCCACCACACGCACCCTCACGTCCCCCCACACGCACCCTCATGTCCCCTCCACTGACACCCTCACGTCCCCTCCACTCGCACCCTCACGTGCCCCCCACATCCTCACGTGCCCCCACACGCACCCTTACATCGCCCCCCATTCACCCTCAAGTCGCCCCCACACGCACCGTCACGTCACTCCCACAGGCACCCTCATCTCCGCCCCACACGCAACCTCACATCCCCTCCTACATGCACATTCGTGTCCCCCACTCGCCCCCTCATGTTCCTCCACACATCCTCACATTCCCTGCACACACACTCTCACTTCCCCACCACACGCACCCTCACATCCCCACCACACGCACCCTCACATCCCCACCACACGCACCCTCACGTCCCCACCACACGCACCCTCACGTCCCCACCACACGCACCCTCACGTCCCCACCACACGCACCCTCACGTCCCCTCCACACGCACCCTCACATCCCCTCCACACGCACCCTCACATCCCCTCCACACGCACCCTCATGTCCCCACCACACACAACCTCACATCCACCCCACATGCACCCTCACAGCCCCCCAAACGCAACTTCAGCTCACCGACATACGCACCCTCACGTCAATTCCACACGCACCCTCACGTCCCCTCCCCCCACACGCGCACTCACCATCCCCCACACGCACCCTCACATCCCCCCCATACACAACCTGACTTGAGCCCCACACACCGTCACTTCCCCCCCACCCCACACACACACACTCACATCCCCCACAAACCCTCACGATCCCCCCACATGCACCCTCACCTCCCCCCGCACCCTCACCTCCCCCCGCACCCTCACCTCCCCCCGCACCCTCACCTCCCCCCCGCACCCTCACCTCCCCCCCGCACCCTCACCTCCCCCCCGCACCCTCACCTCCCCCCCGCACCCTCACCTCCCCCCCGCACCCTCACCTCCCCCGCGCACCCTCACCTCCCCCGCACCCTCACCTCCCCCCGCACCCTCACCTCCCCCCGCACCCTCACCTCCCCCCCGCACCCTCACCTCCCCCCCGCACCCTCACCTCCTCCCCGCAGCCTCACCTCCTCCCCGCACCCTCACCTCCTCCCCGCAGCCTCACCTCCTCCCCGCAGCCTCACCTCCTCCCCGCACCCTCACCTCCTCCCCGCAGCCTCACCTCCTCCCCGCAGCCTCACGACATCCCAAACACACCCTCAAGTCCCCCCCACACGCTCACCTCCAGCCCACACGCACCCTCATGTCCCACCCACACGAACCCTCACGTTCCCCCCACACACACACTCACTTACCCCCACATAATTACCTCACAGACCCCCCAACGGACACACCTTCAGCCCCACCCCACACACCCTCACATACCCCCACACACACACACACCCTCACATCCCCCCCCCACCCACACACACAGACACACACACACACGACCTCACTTCCCCTCACACATACACCCTCACATCACCACTCCCCACTCGCACACCCACACATACCTCCACACACACCCTCACATGACCACACACACGCACACGCCCTCACATCCCCCCCCACACACACCCCCACACACCCACACATTCCCCACACACACCCACACATTCCCCCCCACACAAACCCCTCCCCCACAGACACACAGACTCTCAGCCTTTTTGCGGATTCTGTTCCCAGGAGATGTCGATGTTTTACACAAAGGCTTCTCTCCCGGTGACGACGCTGAAGATCATCTTATTTATGATTGTAAATGTGTCCGACATTAATGGTCTGATTCTCCCTCCAGTTACAGTCACTCTGGATCCTGACACAGCCCATCCCCGGCTCATCCTGTCTGAGGACCTGACCAGTGTGAGACGCGGAGACGAAGAGCAGCCGCTCCCTGACTCCCCGAAGAGGTTTAGTTACTATCCCATTGTCCTGGGATCTGAGGGCTTCACATCGGGAAGACATTACTGGGAGGTGCAGGTGGGCAACAAGTCAATGTGGGCTGTGGGATTGGCCACAGAGTCTGTCAACAGGAAACAACCAATCAGATGGTCACCAGAGGGTGGGGTCTGGGGGGTGGGACTGTGGTATGGGGTCCATTATGAGGCTCTGACGTCACCCCCCACCCCCCTGACCCTGACAGTGAGACCCGGGAAGGTCGGGGTTTACATGGACTATGAGGGGGGACAGGTGTCATTTTACAACGCTGACAACATGGCTCATCTCCACACTTTCACCGACACATTCACTGAGAAACTTTATCCTCTGTTCAGTCCCTGGTTTGATTCTGACCCTCTGACAATCTGCCGGTGACGGTTAATGAGGAGGAACATTTGTCCATTATAATAAGGAGAAAAACCCTCAGCCATTAACTTCATACAATGGCGGTGAAAATATTCTTGGGGGGTGGGGGGGAAGGGTGTGCACTTTAAAATGGGCATCACCCCGACCATCACCCTATACACACCCTCACATTCCCCCCCCACCCCACCACACCCTCACATCCCACCACACACACCCACAACCCCCCCCACACACACCCTCACATACACCCCACACACACCCTCACATCCCCCCCCACACACACCCTCACATCCCCTCCACACACACCCTCACATCCCCTCCACACACACCCTCACATCTGTGTTGGGAGAATCTGACTTGCCATCCAGTGTGTGACTCACACGCTCTGAGACAGGGATATATATCGCTGATATCTTTCTCTCCAGCAATGCCCAGTCTCACAGTCGGGGCTGTGCTCAGAATCTCACTGAAATCTCCCAAATCACTTTTATATCTATAAACAGGTGCCGTGTTGTTCCCCAGTGAGTGGCCGCGTCTCACTGTGTATAAACACTGTGTGTTTTCAGTGACAGCTTTTATACTCTGTAACATTTCTCACTCACTGTAACATTCTTTAACCTTCAATAAACCGAGGTCACGTCTGTGTGGATATTAATATCCAAAATATTGTCATTCACTTGCAAAATACTCGATCAATTTACAATAAATAATGTGTCATTTTATGTCCAATCCTTATGCACAGTCTACACACACTCCTCACCCTCTGATACACACATCCCTAACCCTCACCCCCTGAAACTCACACCCTGAGTTGTCTTAATTCACTCTCCAACTTACTGTGCAGAGACCACACAGATAACTCAGCGCTGAGACACCGAATGCCCACCTCCTCCTCTGACCCTCGTTACTCTCACCGGCAGTGTTTGTTTCTGGTCCAGTTGTTGCCTCTCTCTCCGGCCTCACCGGCTGCTCCAGGTTTAGGGTTCACTCCGTGGACTTTCATTGATTTCCCACATTTCCAACTCCATTTTAGAATTTGAGAAACCAGTGACATTGAACTCAGATCGTGTGGATGTATTCCAGAGGAATAATAACAATAATCCCTCCATTTAATACAGCACCTCATCACATCACTGAGACATCACAAATCGCTTCACAGAATATATTGTAAAGTGTATTGACTGTGTGTTCTGTGGGCAAAATACTGCAGCCAATTGCACACAGCAGTTTCCCACAAATAGTCATGGATTGAGTAACCAAATTATTTTTTGGGAGAGATTATTGACCACAGAAAGCGATCCACCAATCACCTGTCAACTGGGTTCCCACTTAACTGCTGGTAAACAGAGGTGTGTGGAATAAGGAAACTTGTCTAAGATGTAAAGGGGATTGACTGGATATTTTATGAACAAAATGTTCAGGGAGTGAGGAATGGGTGAAGACGCTGTGGAGCATAATCACCGCATGGACTGGTTTGACCGAGTTGCCTATTTAGTTGCTGTACATTCTTTGACTCCCACGAGACAATTTGACAGTCAGAAAAATCCAATCCCGGTCACACTTTCATACAGTTTTACCTGTGAAGATTCCTCTCTTTGAGGCAAAACACCAACAGGTAAGTGTCAGAAATTGTTGCCTGAAATGACATTAGATTCTGATTGAAAAAAATTACTTTATTCTGTATTCCAGTTACAGGATTCACTGGTTTCACTTTCACATGTGGTGATGTGGAGTTTAAATATGAAATAAATGTTCTCTATTGTCAGGTTTGTGTCAGTAGTAAAGCGGGAGCTCTGCAGTCAGTTTATTCCCAGTTTGTGGTTTAAACGCTGAGAATTGGAGGCAAGTGAGGAGGGAAGGGAATGGGAGCTCCTCTCTGACCTGCACCATGTTGGGGTGAATAAGGAGCGGCTGTGAGGAGGGGGAGGGGAGGGGCACATTACAGCAGTTACACATAACATGTTTCTTCCCCAAACCATCTCATGTAGACCCCCAGTGCGGGGCCAGGGGGGGCCTCACTGTCACAGTTAAAGATCCCACATCACTATTCCAACAGAGAAGGCAGTTTGTTCTGTTGTGGGTGTAAATGCAAAGAACATGTTGTAAGATCACAGAGTTATTAATTATGTTTTCCATTTTTATTAATTACCGGCTGTACCTGTCGCAGCTACACTTGCAACCAAAGGATCCACTATGGAATGTAGATTTCAGTATTATTATACTTTATATTATATTTTATATTTGATTATTATACTTTATAACAGCAACAACTTGCACTTATATAGCGTCCTTCACGCAGGGTAGTGTTTCACAGCGCTTAACGGGTGCAGCCTGACTCCGAGCTGGTAGGTGGTTGGGGATGGGAGCTGCCGTAAGCACAGTCAAAGAAGAAGATTTTCCAGCGGACTTGAAAAAGGGGAATGGGCACGATGGAGGGATTGAGGGACAGTGTTCCAGAGTTTCAGGGTGTAGTGGCTAATAGCACAACCACTGATGGTGGGGCAGAGGGTGCGAGGGACGAGTGGGAGACCGGTGCCAGTCAAGCGGATGTGGAGTGGATTGGGGGGTGAGTGGGTCGGGGAAGTTTTCAACATGAGTGTGAATATCTTGAAGTTGATCCATTCAGTGATGGGGAGTCAGTGGAGCCTGGACAGAACCGGTGACATGTTGGTATGGAGTTTGGTCCAGGTCAGTTTTCTGTGGCAGAGTTCTGAATGAGCTGGAGATCTTTTGAATGGTGGACCTGGGGAGGCCGGTGAGGAGTGTGTTGGAGTATTCCAAGAGGAGGTGACAAACACATGCACAAGGTTTTCGGCTGCATTTGTGATAAGATACCGTCGGAGGCAGGCAATTTGGTGGAGGTAGAAGAAGGTGGTCCTGGTCAGGGATTGGATGTGGGGGAGGAAGGGCAGTTGGAGGTTGAACTGGATGCCTGAATTGTGCACTGAGACTGAAGGAGAGACCAGAGAGGTTGAGGAATTTCGATCCACAGTATTGAAGACATTGACAGACAAGGAGTATGGCTTCCATCTTGTTCATATTCAGCTGCAGGAAGTTTACACTCATCCAGGCCTTGATGTGTGCGAGACAACCTGATAGAACATTGGGGACCTGGAGTCATAATAATAATAATAACCATCCTTGCATTTGATATAGCTGTTAATGGAGGAGGGAAAGTAGATTTGTGTGTCATCGCATACATGTGGAAGTTTACCCCATGTCAATGGATGACAGTAGAGGAGCATATAGGTAACTAAGATAGATGAGGGAGGACGGTGGTGGAGGAGGATGCCATGGCCAACTGTGTCGACTGTGGCGGAGAGATCAGGGAGGATGAGGAGGCAGAGGGAGCCCCGGTCAGATAGAGAGAATGTCATTTGTGACCTTGAAAAGCACCGTCTCTGTACTGAGGGCAGAGTGAAAACCAGACATCAGGGGCTCAACGAGGGAATTGGCCTCACACAATGCATTGTAGGATTTTGGCCGGGAAGTTTTTGGGAGGTTGGAGATGGGATGGTAGTGTGAGAGACGAGAGAGATCGAGGATGGTTTTTTTGAGGAGCCCATTATGTAATATATAATAATTCTTGCATTTGATATAGCGCTTTCCACATCTTCTCAATGTCTCAAAGAGCTTCACAGAATAGACTGTAAAGTGAAGTGACTGTATATTTAAACCATTACAGTGGTTTTCAGGCGGAGTGGAGCAGCCTGTGGAGAGAGACTGGTCGGTTAGCAGGGAGGAGAGAAGGGGAAGTTGAGTGACCAGAGATGGGTGGGGAGGGGGTCGAGGCAGCAGGTGGTGACCTCCATCTGGGTGATAGAGACTGAGAGAGAGGGGGGAGAATTGGGGGCAAAGGAGTGTAAGGAGGGGAAAGTGGCAGGAGCCGTGGTGGAGGGAGGAGGCATTGTGGATGGTCTGTGTGAGGTGGAAAGGGACATGGGATGGGGGGAGGGGATAATGCAGCCAAACAGATGGTTGAGTGGGTGCACAGAGATGGTGATGGACGGTGGAAATCAGCGTCTTTGGATTGTTATTTGCCTCCCGGGTGACTCTGGAGTAAATGTCAGTTTTGGTCTGTGAAAAGGGGAGGCAGTAGGTGTGGAGGTGCTCGAGCCACAGATGGCAGTTTATAGTATATTGTTATACTTTTATATTATTATTATATTTTATATTATAATTCTTTATATTATATTATTATACTTTATATAAATATAGGAGATTCCTCCCCCAAAATACCCTTAGTTTTCTCTGTCACTAATTTGTTTCAGAATATATTAGCAAAGATGTATCTCTCGAGAACAGTGTGTGATTTCTCTGTCGAAACCTTGTTGCAGAATACGAGTCATACCTCATATTTTGGGGCTTAATTAAAGTATTTTTAAAATATAGCTCATCAACGATAGGAGTTTGTGAAAACAAATATGCCCATGACACTCCTACTTGCAACACCTTTCTGATGGGTTATAATCATGTCTCTGTGTCAATCGGTTATTGTGCTATTGGTTTGACACACAGACAAACTCACACAAACATTTCATCTGATTAGTATAGATAGATGTACAAACACAAATCTCTGTGTGTAATGATCTGATTTGCTGTGTCGTAACCAGTTCTGATCTCATTGTGAAGGTCCTAAAAGATGAGGTGGAAACACTTTCTTCAGGTCCTATGGCTTGTGCTTCCCCTCTCACTGACTGGTAAGGAAACACATTGAATCTGTTTGTTGGTGTTAAATTGCTGAAGGCAATGAAGGCACTGAGCCCCGAAGCTCTGGATTCCCTCCCTCAATCCCTCCGCCCCTTGCCCCCTCCCTCCCCACTTTCAAATCCCATCCAAAGACCTTACATTTTGATTGTGTTCACTGTCACCTCTCCCCTCCCTCTACCCCTGGATCGGGGTCAGACTCCACCTCTGTCAAGCGCTCTGGGACGCTGCCCCGCGTGAAGGACGCGATATAAATGCAAGTTGTTGAATATAAACTCAAGTCTAATAAGTGGAGACATTGCTATATGGGGGCGGTGCTGCCGCCATCTGGTGGTGACAAGATGAACGGCAGTGGGTTCCAGGACCAACATCTGTCACTGAAGCACTCGCCCAGTCAGTCATCGGGTCCTTTTCCATGTTGTTTAACCATTCTTTTCACCTCTCTTTCATTGCTTCAGGCACTCTTCTAAGGGCT